CAGAGGGAGGTGTACTGGGCGGCGTGTGTTTCAAGTATCCTGAGATCCTCCCTCCCTCCTCTAAGTAGTCTCCTTGACCCCGCCCTGTGCTAAGAGTCCAAGAGAAAGGAGACCTTGGCATTGGATACACAGAAATGTCTGGGCGGGAGCTTTTGAGGAGTCAGCAGGAGAGGTGGAATTACACTGTCGAGCCTCCTTGGGCACCTTCTGTTGAAGGCTGTCGGGAGATGGTGTTTTCTTATTTATTTATTTTTTTTGAGGTGGAGTCTCACTCTATTGCCTAGGCTGGAGTGCAGTGGCCGCTCCCGGCCACCGCAGCCTCGACCTGCTGGGCTCCGGCGATCCTTCCGCCTCAGCCTTCCAAGTAGCTGGAATTACAGGCATGCGCTACCACGCCCAGCTGATTTTTTGATTTATTGTAGAGATGAGGTCTCGCTGCCCAGGTGGGTCTCGAACCCGCGGGCTCAGGCAATCCACTCACCTCGGCCTCCCAAAGTGCTGGGATTACAGGCTGAGCCACCGAGCCCGGCTGAGACAGCGTTTTCAATTCATGTGGCTGCCGCTTCTACCAACCACTTAGCGTAAAATTGCCTGTAAAAGTAAACTTAAATTACAAGTGATAAAACTCCAGCACCCCCTCCCTGCAGCTGACCCTCTCCGCTCTCCATGGGACAAGCTCAGATTCCTTCTGACAAGAGCAGCAAGGCGGTTGCAGGATCTCCAGTGACGTCCTTCCCTTCAACTGAAAATCTGTTTTCCAGGGCTGGGGCCGGTGGGCTGCTCATTAGCCCTCCTGGGAAAAGGATGCTGCTGTCTTGGCCAGTCTGTCTGCCTTCTCTCCCTGCTGCCCCAGTGGCCCTTTGGGCCATGTGTAGAGCCACTGGTGCCCAGGTCTAGCCCGGCAGGCCAGTGACAGGGGTGGGGGGGGGCTTGATGGCCCACAATGACACCTCCATCCTTGGGCTTCTCTTGCTTATCCGTGTTCCCTCTCCAGATGGGTGTCTCTTGGCTAAATGTTAAACATTTACACCAATCCTTCCATTCAACTGATCCACTGCTTCATGTATTTCTTCATGAGCACAACAGATGTTTTTGGGCCAGGACCTGAGATTTTAAAGATGACCTGATCTTGCCCTTGAGGGGCCCCAGTTGGGAGGAGGTGACTCCCTTGTAATCATAAGGTGTGTCCCAGGTGTGGAGGGAGCTTAGAGGAGGGGTGTCCCAGGTGAGGCTTCCTGGAGGAGGAGTCGTTGTTTGAGCTAAGGATCCGGAGATGAGGACAGTCTTCTAGGCCCAAGGGACAGTTTGCATCGAGGCAGGGAGCTGCCCCGTGGGAATCTTGGTAGGATGCCTTGGAAGTTTTTGCTGCACCTGGCCTCGCGTGTGACAGGTGCAAGAAGCGTCCAGTCTCATTTTAGTAGAACGTTGGTCGCAGCTGCTGTCTTACTGGGGAGTCCTTCTCCCCCATCTGTCAGCATTCTTCCCATTCTGGTTTGGTCAAGACCTTGACTTCACACCAGGCCAGAGCTTGCATGTAGGAAGCCACTGTTTAGGAAGTTGGCCCCCTAGCCCCCAGGCTCCGGATCGAGGGTACTTCATGGGGTCAGATCTGGCTGCCCAAGTGGGCCCTGCACAGGGGTGGGGCTCAGCCATAAATGCCCCCCTGCCCACTACCCTGCTCCCTCCATGAAGACACCTAGGGGCACAGGGGGCTTCAACTGGCCCTCTAGAAGGGCTTAGGTGAGAAAGATTCCTGGAAGTTCTGGTCCAGAGGCAGTAGGGGATGTCAGAAAGGGCTGGAACCCCGGAAATGTGACCAAACTTCCATTGTAGAAAGACTTCGGTCCTAGCTCCAGTCCTTCCTGCTTGTGTGATCCTGGGTAAGTGACTAACCCTCTCTGTTTCCTAATCTGTAAAGATGGGAACAGGATGAGAATGGGTCTGATCTTGTAGGGTATTTGCCAAGGTGAAAGGAGTTGATGAATTAATAAGTTGAAAGCACGTAAAATGTTAGCCACGAAGATGATAAGGATGATGGTATGAGCTTGGAACAGCAGCATGGAGGTCTCCCAGGAGAGGACTGCACCTTGCTCTGACCCATCTGTCCTCTCAGTGGCCTTAGCGTCTGGGACTAAGGTCAGGGGTGCGGTCAGTGATGGGGCAACAAAAGGAAGCCCCCAGGACAGGGGCAACACGTCTGGAAATCAACCAGAAACATGCAGGAAAGGCAGCCATGTTCCTGGTCAGGTAGCAGCTCCTAGAAACGCCTACGGTTTATATTTTCAGGATTAGCCTAATTTTCCCAGACCCAGATTCCCTGTGGAAAGAACAGCCTCCTCCTTCTTCGTTCCTGCAAGGAAGTGATGGAAAAACCATCTTTTTATGCTTTTGTTTGTGACTGTCCGTTGGGTGGGGGGGTGAGAAAGAGCGATGAGGACTGTCTTTCCCTGGGACTCCCGGAGCCCCAGACAAAAACAATACTTCTTTTGGGGGCATCAGTGTGACTGGAGGAGACTAGGGGTATGAGAGCCCATGCTTCCAATTAATCCACGGGGATGTCTTGCAGAGTCTGTGCAACACTTGGAAGTGCCGCCAGATATTTCACGAAGGCTGCATGTTGTGGGAGCCGCTTCCCCAGATGGCTCCAGACCCCGGGGGGCTCCCGTGCTCACTCTCCGCGGTTTTCTGGGTGTTTCAGCAGAAAACCTGAGGGCCAGAAGCCCTGCCTCAGAGAGGGCTGTGGCGGGCTGGTTGGGGCATGGGGAGGTTGGAGGGCCGGGCGGGGCCCACGGCCATCCTGAAGTTTATGGGCAAGAAAAGAGGAAGAAGTGGTGACCAGGGACTTGTTCGCCGTCCCTGCTTCATGCTTAGCAGCAAAGTTTCTGGCTCAGTGCGGGGGCTGGTGCAGGGGCGGCTCAGCGAAGTGTGGAGCTCACTGGATTCACTGCAGGGAAAGCCTCCCCGCTCCGGCCGCCCTTCTCTGCAAGACCCCACGGCTCCATCCCTGTCATCCACAGCTTCCCCGACCCCTCTCCATCACAACCTGTTGTCAGGTGGCCGCGGACATCATCGAAGAGGTGCCACTTTGGATGGTGTGCCCAGGGGATGGTGTCCTGAGGGGACAGCGTGACAGGACAGTGTCCTGAGGGGATGGTGGGATGGGATGGAGTGCTGAGGGGAGGATTCTTGAGGGGGTGGACTTTCGAGGGGATGGTGTGCCAGAGGACAGTGTGCCCGGGGACGGTGTGCCAGGGGACAGTGTACGGCCCCCTCCCCAAGCTTCTGAGCATGCGCAGAGAGCTTGAGCCTTGCAGGCCAGTACTTTTCCACCTGGCTTGAATGAGCCTGAGACGTCACCCACGGAGACGACCAATCGTGGCCCTTTGCCATTAGTGAGCTGGTGACCTTGTCCAGGCTTGTCACCTCCCTGGCCTGGGTCGGATCATAGCGTGAATCCCTGCAGGGGCTCACTGGAAGCTCTGGTGCCCGAACCCCAGACCCCGGGAAGGTGAGGACGACGGCCTGGCTGCTTCCCTGCTTGAGTGGGAAGCAAACGACAGGCGCATCCTGTCCCATCAGGTGGCACCTTCTGCTACAAGAGCTATTGAGGAAGGCAGGGCACATGGCTTTCTCGGGCTAAGGGCTCCCTGCTTGCCTCTGCCTGGTCCGCAACTGCCCAGCCCCTCAAGTGCCTCCTCCCGGCCCAGCACCGACGGATCAAATCCCCGCACCAGCACTCCCGGCGCACACACCCTTCACACAGCGCATGTTCCTGGGGCTGCAGCTGCATCCACGTGTCTCCTGATGGGTCACAGGGCCTGGTACCCAACACACGCTCAAGACACATCTGCTAGACAGATCGAGCATGAGGCCCCGGTAGGGAGAGGATGTCTGGGGAAGGAAGTGTTTGACCAGTTCTGCCTCCGTTCTGAGCCCCTGGGGTTCCTCCTTGAGCGGAATGGGGGAGGGAAACGTGGGGGACCCTCTCTGCCATGGGCAGCCTCCTCCCCTCCTGGCTCAGGGACTGAGTAAGACTCATGGAGTGAGTGACAGAACGCCTCGTTGTCCCTTGCAGGCGGGAAACTGAGGCTATGGAGTTGGGGGTTAAGAGGGGCTCCTGGTGGGAGGTGCCAGTTCTTGTGGATGCTGGGGGGCAGGAGGACCTGGGGGTAAAGAACTTTGGGTTGGCAGCGGTGGTTGTCAGGACAGGGGACTTGAGTCCTTCTCCAGGGAGGTGGTCTGGGCAGATATGGCAGTTCTAGGGAGGCCACGAGGCTGTGGCCGCATCCTTCAGGCCCTGATGAGATGAGATGACCATCCAGTCAGACGGGTGCCAGAGAGCAAGGGGCACCACCCTCACGCCAGCTGAGCTGCATCTTGCAGGCCACCCGAGGCAGTCCTGTCCCAGATGAAACCTGCCTGTTGACAACTCAGCAGGCAAGGGCCGGCAGGCCTTCCCAGTTCGGGGGACTCTGAGCCTGTGCGGTGGCCGGAGCGGGGAGTGGGTCCCCAGAAGCCTCCTGCAGGAACCTGCTGCCTGGCCAGCCTTAGGGTGCCAGGACCCCTATCAGTAGACCCAATCACCTGCTTCTGGGGTGGGAGGTGGAGGGCACTTAAGCTCCAGACAGACACTGGAACTGCACTGGGCACGGCAGATGACATTTATGGCATTTGTGAAAGTTAGAGAAAGGTTCCCTCTCTGGTAGACACAGCCCTGCAGGAGTGTGTTGGTGACCATCGCTAAGGTGCCCCTTCCTCCCAGCAGGCGGCCCAGGCCAGGTGCGTGGTTTGGCAAAGCCAGCCAGCCTGGATCTCAGTCCTCTTTGCGCCTCGTTGGACTCCCTAGTGCAGCGGAAAATCTACACAACTGTACAGGGCTGTCCTGCCACTTCCTTTCTTTCTCTGTACTTTTGCATTTCATCCTGGGCTGTGAGGTCAGGGGTGGCTGTCTGGGCAAGTAGCTTTCTCAGGTTCCGGACTCTAAAGGGCTCTTCTCTCAGTAACTTAGGGGTGCCGCCAGGCCGGGGCAGCTGCCCACTCACCACGCCCCTGCCCTTCGACCTCATCTACACCGACTACCACGGCCTGCAGCAGATGAAGCAGCACATGGGACTGTCCTTCAAGAAATACCGGTGAGAGGGCGGCGGGAGGGGGTGACGCGGCCGGCGGCCGTCCGAGCCTGCGTGCCTAGGTGGAAAACCCCTCCTCATGCCCTGGCCCACATCCTGGCTGCCAGCTGGGCCCCGGGTGGGAGAAGACATTGTCCTGTGTCCTCTTGGCCGCCCTTGCCTTTCCCGCCACCTCCCACTCAGTCGAGCTCTGCCCCTGGCTAACTTGAATGATAATTAACAAACCACCCAGAGCGCTCCATTGCCCCTGCGCTGCATGGAGGCTGGGGGTGGGGTCAGAGGTAGCCTAGATGTGGAGGGCAGAGGAACTGTGGGAAGCCGGGAGGACTAGAGGGCATGGGACAGCAGCCGTGACCTCTGCGCGGAGACCCGGGATGGGGGGGGGAGTGGCTCAGCGCCCCCCTCCCTGCCCTCACCCCACCCCAGCCCCTCTGGGTCTGGAGGAGGGCCAAGACCATCACTCCCTGTGTCTCTGCAGCCAGCGGGACGTGGGGTTTAATTTAGCACAGAGAGCCCTGCTATTTATTACGGGTGCTCCCGTCCCGTTGACGCTCCCGTGTGATTTTATTAGGGAGAGAAGTGACAGGCAGTGTTATTGCTTTTATTATTAATGCGTGTCGGCTGTGCACTCTTTGCTCGCTCCTGCCACCCAGCCCCCTCTCTGGGGGAATAGTGCCGACCTCAGCACTCTGTGCAAGATTCTGGGTCGCCAGGAAGGACGGCGGGGTGAGGGAGCTTCTGTGGGGGCTGCGAAGTCTTAGCTCTCGTTGATGTGATCCCTCCGCAGGAGAGGTGGGCAGAGGGAGTCCTGGAGCTGTGGCCCATTGAGAGTGGCCCTGTGGCTGGCTGATCTTACAGGGATAAGGCCCCTCGCGGCTTTGAACTTGAGGCCTCCAACCCTGGAGGCGGCAGAGGGAGAAGGGCTGAGTGGGACAGAGCCCCTGTCCAGCCGGAAGGTGTCCCCTGCAGAGACCAGGCTGGCAGAGAAGGCTTAGAGGCATGGCCCTCCCAAAGGTGGGTGTGGGCGGTGGCTGGGACCCCGCCGTGAGCATCCCGGCCCCATCCCAGGTGTGTCAGGCTCCTGAGCAGAGGGGCTGTGGTCTCCCTACCCAGGAAGGTGCAAATCATACAGGTGACCTCAGAGATGGGGAGGAGGGACCCACTGCCCCCCTCTGGGTGGCTGAAATGGCTGCAATTTCTGAGCACTAACCACAGCCCACAGGCCGGGAGCTTCCATACACCTTGAGACAGTCGGGCAGTTGTTATTCCCGCTTGACAGATGGGGAAGCCGAGGCAGAAGGGTGATGGCGCTTGCCTGTGGTCACACAGCTGAGTGGTATCTGACCACCACTCTCACCCAGCTGAGGGCCGGTTTACAGCACTCGCGACTGGGGCAACCCCAGCCCAGGGACACCCCAGGAGGCTGCTGACCCCAGTTTCTGGTCCCTGGTGGGGGCAGGTGCCGAATCCGGGTCATCGACACCTTCGGGACGGAGCCTGCGTACAACCACGAGGAATACGCCACGCTGCACGGCTACCGGACCAACTGGGGCTACTGGAACCTCAACCCCAAGCAGTTCATGACCATGTTTCGTGAGTGCCCGCAGGGCGTGGCGGGGACGGGGCGGGGGGCTCGTGGTTCTCAGAGGGGGCAAGGAGGAACAGGGCTCGGTTTCCCTGCTCTCTCCTTCCCCAGCCCCTGGGGGAAGTAGGGCCCTCCACGCATCGGCCTTCTCCCTTTCAGCAAGGTGTGAACCCGAAGGGAAACCGCAGCGTGGTGCCCGGGGAGCAGGGAGCTCGGAGGGAGTGTCCTGGGCAGGGTGGCCGGCCTGATCCCAGAGGACGCATGGCCTTTGCCCACTGGAGAGTGGCTGAGCACACAGTTCCAGAGCACAGGAGATTCAGCGACTTTCCAGAAAGCGAGGTCTGCCAGGGAACGGCAGCGGGAGCGGGTGTGCAGAGGGGATGGAAGTGATGCAGAAAGAACCAGAAGTTTCTGGAAGTGCAAGGGCAGGGTTAGGCGCCAATGCTGGGGATAACGGGAGGTGAGGCCGTGAGAGCCCTTGGTGGCCACCCAGGGACAGGGGACTTCAGGCCAGGAGTGAGCTTCAGCTGCTTTGAACGAGACTCTGAAGCATACGCACACGCTGCCCGCCCTCTTACACGCAGCGTGCGGAAAACTGTCTCGCCTCTTCTCGACGACTCAGGGTGGGTTCTCTCCCTGGCGCAGGTGCCGTCCTCTTGGGCGGCAGAGGTGTGCGGAGCTGCACCCCTTCTCCCGTCTGCTTCATGCGGCTCTGGCCCTCCTTGTCGGGAGGCTCCCGGCTGTCACTTTTAATTGTGGTCAGCGCGCCTTCCTCCTGCAGCGTCTCGCGTGCGGTTCTTTGGAGGCTCCGGGCCAGAAAGCCAGATAAGCACCCTTGTTAGGATTGTATCTAAATTAAGAGCAAAATAGGTTCTGAGCAGCGTCCGGAGGGACTCGGCGTGCGAGTGAAGTCTATGATCCGAATTTAGCCTGTGGAATGTGTGGCGTCTCTTTTGGGCGCTTCGAGTCTTTGTTCTCTGAGTTCTGGGCTGCATTTGGGGCAGATGTGGTTTTTGAATACATAAGTCATGCCTTAATTGGTTCCCAGAAGGCTGGGAAGATCTCAGGAGCCCATGCAGTCCAGATGAGAGAACTGAGGCCCAGAGAGGTAGGGTAGCCCACCCGTGGTCACACAGCAAGGTGTGGACCGGAATCCTTCTGCAGGGTTCCTTCTCAAGTTTTCATGAGACTTGTCACTGTCCTCCCTGGAGGAGAGCGATGGAACAGGGTTGGGAGCAGGAAACGGTGGTGCTCCAGGCTGTGGAAGAGGAAGAATCTGAGTGGAGAACCTTGGGTCATTTGCTCGCTTAGCAGGGGAACAGTCTGATGCAAAGCCGGGAAGAGCCATGTTGAAGGGAAGTAGAGTATTTTACTCAGTTTACTGAGGTTCCTCAGTTTACACTTGAGATCCACTGCAGGTACTTGAGCTAGAGAATGTGTCATGAAGAACAATTTTTATCGAGGCATATTATCCTGGCAGACTGTAGAGGCCAAAGGGGCAACGATGGAGGGGAGGGAAGCAGAAGGTGGCTTAAGAGGCTTCTGCAGTAACCTACACAGAGAAAATGAGGACTTGGCCCTGGGTGGAGCCCACTGGATGTGGAGTTCCAAGACCTGGCAAACTCCTACTCATCCTTCAATGCCCCAGGTCAAATGTCTCCTCTTTCTACCATCATGTTCACTAATTCCCTCAACACCTATTTCTATATTGCCTCTTCACCTCTATTTTTATAATTTGAAACCTAATTCTGTAAAAGCATGTATTAAAGTGTACTAGAGTTATTGCTTATAAGTTTTTTTTCCCCTGATAGATTATGAAGCACACAAAAAGGAACCACTAACAGATTTATCTTACTCTCTCCAGAGCCAACCTAGGTCCTCTGAGAATGTTAATTGATTGAATAAATCAAAGAAAGAGGGGACAGAAAGGAAGTTTTTGATGACACTTGGCATCCAGGAAGGAATTTTCGAGCGATCCGTTTCCATCAAGCTGGCTGATGTCCCCAGTGAGCAAGCTGGGAGGCTGGCAGCCTCTCCTGGCCGTACCCTCGCTCCGCCTCCCAGGAGCTCTTTTCTTAATGCTCCCAGTTAATTTAATTGGTTGCAATACTCCCCTGTCCCCCTCCCACTGGCTTAGCTAATTGTGTTCCAAATCTGTCCTTTCTGATGGAATTGGTGGCATGCAGGGCAGGGGAATGAAGACTTCCTCAGATGCCGAGAGAAGGGGAGGCCGTCAAGCAGGGAGAGAGGCCTGGGGCCAGGTGGAGGGCCCAAGGAGAGAGAGGGAGGGAGGATGGATGCCCAGCAGGGTCTGCCCTGCTCTCCTGCGGCCTCTCCCCTGCTTGGGCAGGGCCTCCTGAGACAGGAGAGCAGTTCTCACTCCCGCCATCCTCAGAAAGAACTCCAGGGGCTGGTCGATGTAATCCCAGCACTCTGGGAGGCTGAGGCAAGAGGATTGCTTGAGCCCAGAAGTTTGAGACCAACCTGGGTAACACAGTGAGACCTCGTCTCTACAAAAAATAAAAATGAGCCGGGCGTGGTGGCACATGCCTATAGTCTCAGCTACTCTGGAGGCTGCGGTGGGAGGATCCCTTGAGCCCAGGAGGTCCAGGCTGCGGTGAGCCAGGGCACTTCAGCCTAGGCGACAGAGTCAGACCCTGCCTCAAAACAAAACAGATTTGCACACCCGAGAATCTGTGAGCTTTCAGGGTGCCTCAGCAAGAAACCGTCAGCTCTCCTAAGATGCACCGGAAATTGATGACAACTTTTTGTGGGCCTTGAGAGGGGGATAGAAATACTCTATTCAATCTGCACACATTTGATTAAAACGTGCCTCTCGATGGGAGATGTTGACAGGCGGGAATTGTGCAATCCAGTGTTGAGAACCGAGGCATTCCGGGGGTTGGGGATCTGCCTCCAGCCTCCTCACCCACAGCCTCTTCCACGAAGGAAGGCGGGTTGGTTCTCCTGGTGCTCCATGAGCGCCGTATCCAAGATCCTAGGGCACAGGAGGGAGGTCTGGCGTGTTGCGCACACTCATTGCTCCCATAGCATTCTCCCTCCCTCTCAGCAGATGAGCCGTCCAAGCCCGTGGCAGAGTTGGGGCACAAGATAAACCATCTCTCCCGGGCCTGGTGTGCTGGGTTCTGGGGGCATGTGAGGAAGTCTCAGAGCAATCTGCACTTTAACAGAGATGGGACCACAAAGGGAGGTGCACAGACCCCAGGGAGGGCTTCCCAGAGGAGGTGAGGGTGGACGAACGGGGCCTCGAAGGCCGAATAGGATTTTGTCAGCCAAGAAAAGGGAGGAGGCAGAGGGAACAAACAGGGGCAAAATCTCGGAGATAGGAAAGGGAAGGTGTCTCGTCCGCACATTAATTCAACCAGCCCAGGCTCCGTTTTAGGGGCTTGGGACCCACTAGCAAACAAAACAGAGCCCCGCTCGTGGGGCTTATAGTCTGACGGCTATAAATGAACGGGCAAATATATAATGTAATGTGTGCTGTGATGAAAAGTAAAGCAGGTAAGAGTCCAGCCAGCGACCGGGGTCAGGACCGCTGAGCACAGACCTGCATGGAGGGAGGCGCTGGGGCCAGCCGGGATCCTGGTGGGGCTGGAGGGGAGGGGGGCAG